AAGTCTTTGTAAACTCCAAGGTGGGATTTTCTATGAGCAACTGAGGAGCTCCTGATCGCTGAAGTTGTCCACCTGGAGTATTTCTGTTGGGAGTGGCACAAAACAATGTTCTGGGAGGTGCCCACTCTCTCTCAGGTGCTTAGAGTTCTGATGCTATGATTGGCTAGTTTGACCACCCGGCTGGGCTCAAAAGGAGGCCTCCTGGAGGCAGTACTCTCTCTGACTGCGGGTTGAGGAAGACGTGCTGCTGAAAGAGACGCGCCCCTGAAAGAGACACACGTTGCTGGGAAAGAGACGCAAGAGACACGCATTGCTGAGTGAGACACCGAGGGACCAGCACTGCTGGGAAAGAGACTGTGAGAGACTGCTGGCTGAGGGACGGTGGGCTGGGAGAGAGACTGAGCATTTTTCCTGAACTCGAATTGTAGCCTGGTGCTTCCCTAATAAACCCCGTAATCCATGAGTTCTGTGTGGCCACTGCAGCGAATTATCAAACCCAGAGGAGAGGTGGTGGGTGCTTTGGGAGGAACGATTGGTGAAAGGGCTGGAGGGAGGCAGCATGTTTGGCCTTGCAGTAATAGGCCTTGGGTTACTGCTGGTAATCCTGTCTTCCTCTTGTGGGATTACAGGAGGTCAGAACATGTGGCCTCCATGTCGTTTTTGTAGCAACTTATCTGGTCTGTGGCCGCTGCTGCAATCAGGCAGGTCCTTGGCTCATGGGGTCCTGTTCACCACAGAACAAAATGTTGCCAATTCCTGCCCCATCCTCGTGGTCGGCTGTGGATTGGACGGACCAGTGTGAGCCATAGGGTTTTCTTTGGCTGATTTTCAGAAGTAGGTAGCCAGGCCTTCCTTCCTAGTCCATTTTTAATCTGGAAGCTCTGCTGAAACCTGGCCTAGAAGCTTCTAAATTCTGGAGCATATAGGGCAGCCTTGTACAGGAGTGGTAAGTGCATAAGTATTTGAAGTTAGAAAACCCAGATTGAAATTCTGCTGACTTCCCCTCTCTAAGCCTTGGCTTCCTCACCTATTATTGTTAGTTGCTGTTAAGTCAGTTCTGACTCATGGTGACCTCATGTACAAAAGAACAAAAACACTGACTGGTCCTGCAGCATCTTCGCAATTACTGGTATGTTTGTGTCCATTGTTGCAGCCACTGTGTCAGCCCATCTCTTGAGGGTCCCCGTCACTGCCCTCCACTTTACCAAACGTGAGATATCCTTCTCCACTGATCAGTCCCTCCTGATGATGGATCCAAAGTGAATGAGTTCAGGTCTCGGATAATAATTTGTGATCTATAGAGTTTTGGGGTTTTTTTTTTAACTATTTTATTGTGCTTCAGGTGAAAATTTACATGGCAAATTAGTTTTCCAATCAGTAATTCATACACAAATTGTTCTGTGACATTGGTTGCAACCCCTGCAACGTATCAGCACTCTCCTCATCTCCTTCCTAGGTTCCCTGTTTCCATTCATCTGGTTTCCCTGTCGCTCCTGCCTTCTTATCTTTGGTTTTGGGCAAAAGTTGCACTTTTGGTCTGGTAGCATAGTGCCTAAGGCATTTGACTGTTAATCAGAAGTCTGGCGGTTCAAACCCACCAGCCCCTCCTCGGAAGGAAGTTTGGGCAATCTACTTCCGTAGTGATACTACCTTGGAAACCCAAGGAGGGGTGGCTGTGAGTCAGGGCCGACTCAAAGGCACATAACAACAACAACAGTTGATTGGTTTAAGGAGCACATTCTTCGTGGGTGTTATTGTTTATTATTTGGCTGAGAGGTAGTCTCTGGAAGGGAATGTCTTTAGTTTCAAGTTAGAAAGTTGTCTCAGGGCAATAGTCTTGAGGGTTCCTTCAGTTTCTTTCAGACCAGTAAGTGCATTCTTTTGTTGTTGTTGTTAATTTAAATTTTGTTGTACATTTTTTACTCATTCTAACCAGAACCTTCTATTGTGTCCCTGGTCAGCATGGATGATAGTGGTAGCTGGGCATCATCTAGATCTTCTGGTCTCAGGTTGGAGGAGGCTGTGGTTCATGTGGGCCACTAGTCCTTTGGACTATTTGCTTCCTTTAGTCTTTGGTTTTCTTCATTCTCCTTTGCTCCAGGTGAGAAGAGACCAATAGTTGCTTCTTAGATAGCCATTTGCAAGCTTTTAAGACCCAGACTAGGAGATAGAACATTATCTTTATGAGCTGTGTTTTACCAGTTGACCTAGATGTCCCCTGAGACTATGGTCCTTAGCCTTAAAGTCCAGTAGTTCATTCCCGATGTCTGAGTATTTTCTATAACTGTGCCTCTATGTTCTATATATGAGTATACATACAGCATTTACACATACCTATGTAGAAATACCCTCAACCATATCTATATATGTGTGCGAGTGTACTCCTGGGTGACCTCCCTCACCTGTTTAGCATATATGTCCACCTGTGTATCTACTCACAAATTACCGTTTGCTGTTACTGTTGTGGCAGGATTGTATATGCTGCAGCATTTACCATAGTTGCCCTTTATTCTTGGGTACCTCCAATTGCCTTCCTTTACCTTGGGTATGTTGTGCTGACTTCCACATATTGTGTATTGCCCTTCCCTTCACCGTAATGAACACTTTTGTACTATCTAGTTAGTGAGTCTCCCTCCCTTCCTCCCTCTCCCATCCCTGATAACCATCAAAGAGTATTTTTTTCTGTGTATAAACCTATTTTTGACTTTTTGTAATAGTGCTTTCATACAATATTTGCCCTTTTGTGGTTGACTTACTTCACTCAGCATAATATCCTCCAGATTCATCTACGTTGTGAGATGTTTCGTGGATTCATTGTTACTTAATTGTTGCCTCATATTCCATTGTATATATGTACCACATTTTGTTTATCTATTCATCTGTTGATGGACATTTAGGTTGTTTCCCTTTCTGCTATTGTGAATAGTGCTGTGATGAACATGGGTGTGCATATGGCTATTTGTGTCACAGCTCATATTTCTCTAGGATACGTTGATCTTAGAGTTTTCATTGACTAATTTTTGCATGTAGATCACCAGGTCCTAGTCTTCCTGATTCTTCCTTGCCCATAGGATGGGGGGATTGGTGTAGTGTTGGTTACTGTGAGGGTCATGTGAGGGGATGAGAATGTACTTTGTCCATACTGGGGCACGAAACACACCAGAATAACTCAGCCATCAGTATTTCCTGGGGAGTCAGTTTCCAAAGTCATGACATAAGCAAGAGAATGATCAATATTGTCCTTGAAAATGCCTTAGAAGAAGCCATGGAAGGAATCAACACGCTGAGTCTCTTCAAGTCCTGCACAACCCGTGTTCCCTGAGTTTTGCACTAGGATAGGTCCTTGGGTGGCATACATGGTTTACACTCTACTTCTAACTTGAAAGGAGCCCTGGTGGTACAGTGCTTATGCACTGGACTGCTAACCAAATGGTCTGTGGTTCAAACCCACCAGCCTCCTCGTGGGAGAAAAGACCTGGTGACCTGCTCCTATAAAGATTACAGCCTAGAAAAACCTATGGAGCAGTTCTACTCCCCACATGTCACATGTGATGGCTATGAGTCAGAATCAACTCGAGGGCATACAACAACTAACCTAAGGGTTGATGATTTGAACCTACCCAGTGGTACTGTGGAAGAAAGGCCTGGTGACCTGCTTCTGTAAAGATCACAGCCTAGACAACCCTAGGGAGCAGTTCTACTCTGTAGCACTTGGGTCACCATGAATCAGAATAGACTTGAATGCAATGGTTTTTTTTTTTTTTGCAGTCGGTTGCTGTGCAAAGTCTCCAGATGAAGCAGTGCACTTTGGGGGCTATGTTGTAGGAGAAAGTGTTCTTTTTAAACACTGGAACCCCATGCAGTGGTGGTGGACATGCTCACTGGAGGCTAGCAGGATCCTGGGTGGGAACTACCTGCAGTGCTGGTCTCCCACTTCCTGGACCCTGCTCATGATGTAGAACTGCTTGTATCATTTATATGGCTTTTCTTCTCTCTCTCTCTTTTTTTTCCTCCATCAAATAAGATGCAGTTGCTTTGCCTGGGGAAAAGCCATTTAGGAAGCAATTCTACTGTAATTGGTGGACACTTACTTGAAATGTTTTCTTCGTTTTTCTTTTAATATATGTGAAATAATGCAAATAAATACATGGAAACATTTTTATTAAAATTTTTTTAATACAGAGAGTGAAAGTGTCCTTTGAATTCATCCTCATCCCAGCCCTCCTTCCTCTGCCGGCTACTGTTAGGATAGGGGTGTATCTTTCCAGAGTTGTCCATTCATTTACACACGTGAACATTTGTGAAAGTGTAAGAGGTATCATATTACTTTTAGTGTTCAGCGACCTGTAGTTTTAGCTCCACTACTTTACCAATCTGTCTTCAGTGGTGGAATCCTTGCTTTCCATGCAGAGGAGACCCAGGTTCAAGTCTAGCTTATGCACCTCATACACAGCCGCCACCCATCTGTCAGGGGAGGCTTCGTGTTGCTCGGATGCTAAACAGGTTTCAGAAGAACTCCCAGACAAAGATGAACTAAGAAGAAAGACCTGATGATCTACTTCCAAAAATCAGCCAGTGACAATCCTATGGATCACGATATATCCGATCACGGGGATGGCGTAGGACCCAGGCAGTGTTTGGTTCCGTCGTGTGTGGGGGTGCCGTGAGTCGAGGGCCGACTCAGCAGCAGTTAACAATGACAACATCTGTAGAGCTATTCTGTTCTTGTAATTGTATTTATTCACAGTATGGGTGCATCATAGCCCCCCCTTTTTTTTCTAATGCAGAGTGTTGTTTCTTTGCCTGCTTCTCTATGATAATATATGATGCACAACACTGGCCAGTGTTAAGAACAAATATGAACAAGGATCTCCTGGTTCAGCTTCTCAGTCCCTATGTAGACATTGGCCTCCATTTTCACCCCCTTTATCTCAAGCTGGCCTCTAAGGGTCAGTTTCCTGCTGAGTGAGCTTTGTTGACCTCCTGTCTCTGCTTTGTAGGCCAAGAACAAGGAGACAGGTGCCTTGGCTGCAGCCAAAGTAATTGAGACCAAGAGTGAGGAGGAGCTAGAGGACTACATCGTGGAGATTGAGATTCTGGCCACCTGCGACCACCCCTACATCGTGAAGCTCCTGGGGGCTTACTACTACGACGGGAAGCTATGGGTAAGAGTGCCACTGCCTGCTCCTTCTTAGCCCCCATGCGTGTTGGTCCAGAGCTCCCTAAGACTAGCTCTGACATCTTCAGTTCTTTCTCAGGGTCTACTTTGAAGGCAAGAGCAGAGACGAAGAGAAGGTGAAGTAGGTGGGTTCTGAGACCCCTGCCTTCCAGTTGTGTCCCAGAGCCTCCCTACCTTAGTGGTTCAGGGCAGGAGGTCTGATGCTCCAGTGCCTAGACTCGAATCCCAGCTCTGCCACTTACAAGGTAGATGACCCTGGGCAAGTTCTTCTTCTTCTTCTTCTTCTTCTTTTTTTTTTAATTTGATTGTGGAAAACATATACAACAAGACGTTTGTCAGCATAACACTTCTCCATTTATAGCTCAGGGACATAGATGACATTTTTCATGTTGTGCTACCATTATCGCTATCCTTTTCCAAAATATTCCACCACCGTTAGTGTACACTCAATGCCCCACAAACAAAAGCTTCCCCTTTCCCCCTCCCTCCTACCCCTGGGAACCACTAATAATCTTTGTTTTCTATATATATTGTGTATATATATACTATATATGTATAAAAACAACAACAAAAAAAATCAAACTCACTGCCATCAAGTCAATTTTGACTCATAGCAACCCCCTTTTGGTTGGTAAATGTTTATGGAAGTAGATTGCCCAGTCTTCCTTCCACAGAATGGCTGGTGGGTTTGAACCACCCATCTTCGGGTTAGCAGTCAAATGCCTTAGTCACTACTTATATATATAAAATCCTTCTCTTTTTTTCCAACCTATCTAGAAATTTCCCTCCCCTCTCCTCCTGTCCCAGGTAACCAACATAGAAAATTTCCTTCTATGTATAAACCTTTCCTTGACTTTTTACAATAACACACTAATACAATATTTGTTCTTCTGTGATTGACTTATTTCACTCAGCATAATGTCCGTTGGGCAGGTTCTTAACCTCCCTGTATCTGTGCTTTGGTTTCCCCATCCTTATGGAGAGGATAATGTACTGACTTACAGAGATGTTAATGAGCATTAAATGAAATTCAAATAAGGGGCTTACAACAGTGCCTGGTGCATGTAAGATCTCTGTCTGTATTGGCTACTGTATTGCTGGTAGTAGTAGCACCTTTACCATTGCTGCTGCTTCTCTTCTTTTCCATGACAGCACTAAAGAGGGGGAGGCTTTCAACACTCCCTCCCTCCATTAGGAACCTCATCCTTTGATGTGCAGTATGCAGATGCAGCTTTAAGCCCCACCTTCCAACCTCAGCATCACCTCTCAACTTCTAAAAAGGAATTCTGGGCTTTCTCCCCAGCATGTCTTCCCCACTGATGTCCTCCCAGTGTTGATGCCTCTCAGTTCATCAAACCCAGACTTCTTAGAACATACATCTCTTTCTAAACTTTTTTTTATCACCCATTGTTTTATAGATAAGGCATCGTATTGATGACCTGAAACTTAGTACAACATTTCTAACGAAAGGATGTGCAAAAAAAAGTCTCAAATTAATTCTAAATGCAATTGGAAGACTACCAGCCTCCCATGTAGACGTCTTGAATGGAGCGTGGGGAAGAGTCACCGGGGGCTGGGCATCTCAGATGTTGCTGGGGCTGAGAGCCAGCCTAGTATTAGGTTCCACACACAGCAGCTGTTGCTAACAGCCCTAATAATTGTTTGGTGTCTAGGAAGTGATGTTTTTTAACTATTTTACACTCTGTTGTGATCATTAATAGAGAGAATTGTACAGTTTTAGTTACATGTTAGGAAATTGGTGGGGAGTTTGGAATTGACAGAAAATACTTTATGATTTTTTCCCCACTTAAAATAAAGAGAAATAGACTCCTGGTTGATTGACTGATTGGTTTTGGGTTGTGCTTTTTTGGAGGGGACCAAGAATGCCTGATTTGTAGGAATAGAGCTGCTGACACTAAATAGGAAAGTCTGTGTTTCATTTGCGAAAAGGGTCTGCTGCTTTAGAAAACCAAAGGAGAGTTAAGAAATCACATTGAATTTGATCCCTCTCATTTCAGCAGGTATGGTATAAGTTCATCTTTCATTTTTATTTTTTAAAAAATATATATACATTTAAATATATATAATACATATATGTAGAAATATGTATGTTTCTATATAAATATATAGACTCGACGGCCCATAACAACAACAAAATATATGCATTTTTTCAAAGGTGAACATATACCCTAAGTAGTTTTTTTTTTTTTTTTTTAAGTTAAACTTATATGAATCTGCATAGAAAAATTCTAGAAAAATATACTCTATAGGTGATCAATGGTTAAATATCTCTGGTGGTAAAAATTTGAATAGTTTTAATTTTTTGTTTGTTGGAGAACTGAAATGCAGTGAAGGGGGGTGAGAACTTGGCACTGCTACCCCCACACAGAGCTCTGTTCACCAGAACTGACTGCCCTCCAGATGGAGGCCCGCTTCATTTGGACTCTCTGGGCATCTCCTATCTCCTTGCCTTAGAAAGGAAGACAGAGTGGGGGTAACACTACTACCACCTGACTGCCAGCTGCCTATTTCAAAGCCTTTCATCATCCCTGTCTCCAGGAACCTCAAGAATTGAACAGGGTAGGGAGAGTGATCATCCTTCTTCAGAGGAGGTAACTGAGGCACAGAGAGGGTAGGCCCCTAGCTCATGGTCACACAGCTAAGGCTGATGAAGCTGAGACTATGTTTCCTTCCTCTGTGATTTGTGGAGCTGCTTTAAAATATTTTTTCTTCTTTTAAGATGTTACAAATACATTATATATGTGGTTATCAGAGGACGATGAATATACAGAAAAGAAAAAAAAAAGATTAAAACTGTCTTACCACCACAGATAACATTTGATCTGTTTTTCTTTGTATATTGTTGTTGTTGTTAGGTGCTATCGAGTTGACACTGACTCATAGTGACCCTGTGTACAGCAGAATGAAACATTGTCTGCTCCTGCACCAGCCCCACAATCCTTGCTATACCTGGGCCCATCGTTGCAGTCACTGTGTCAATCCATCTTCTTGAGGGTCTTCCCCTTTTTGCTGACCCTCCACTTTATCAAGCATCATCCTTCTCCAGGGAATGGTCCTTTCTGACAGCATGACCAAAGCAGGTCAGAT